CTAACCCCCAAAGGTTACTTTAGCGAGAGAGAAAGAGAGAGCGGTTTTCGCGAGCCATCTGGCTCGAACGAAAACCGCAATATGAGGTCAATTTAACCGCACAAGTGTGGAATCCGTTACGAGAATTGTATAACTCAAAGTTCTCGAGAATATTCAGTAACGATGTATCACACTATGTCAATGGAGTATGTTTGTGTAGCATATTATCGTCCGTATATCACTGCCCATATATTACTACCTCCCCATGCATCATTTCCCACATTGCAAACACAATCAGTTTGAACTGAACAACACCAATAGAGTTATAACACTTGAGCCATGTATCGAACACAGGCCATCCACAACATTCCGCGCTGGAGCGTTGGAGTCTCCAGCATGAGATAGATGCTCTAGGAAAATGGAGCATGTGCAACCAAAGACACCAGTTGAATACAAAAATATGAAATTCATTACACCAGAGCGTGAGTTCGCATATACCATGGAACATGTCATGCCCATGCATTACTGTACCACTAATAGGCGAAGATCTCAGAACCCGATTCATCGAATCAATCTCCTATCTCCCGTAAAACTGCTCTGACGATACTTTTGCGCGCGCCACACGCACGCATCAACATGTGGATCCGAACATTTCAATACCAATCTCTGGTCACAGGATTTCAGTTTCAACCATACTTGAGAGGACACCCATTAGCGTAGAGATCTATGTGTACACGGATAATCAGCCGATTTCCACGGGCCATTTAAATTTAGCTTTTTCATTTCCAGCCCTATTCAATAGGCAGGTCGCACCTGCGCGATTGCGTGAAAGGTTTGGGCGCGCTCTCTCAGGGGCCCCCACCCCTGGCGCGCGCTGATGCCATCATGGCATATGTTGAAGCTTTGGGCAAAGCAGGTGCCCAACACCAAGATCATCTACACCTTTTCAATCTCAAATTCAACAATTTGAAAGAACAAATTAGGTGAATGAAATTTGATTTTCGACAAGTGAAAGATGTTTTTCGTGAAATGAAAGTTCAAATTCGAAATGAAAGTTCGATTTTCGTAGACCGGTTGAAAATGAAAGTTCAAATTCGTAAATGAAATTTATGAATTCGGAAACGCAAGTTCAATTTCGTCGAACACAAGACCAATTTCGACCAATGAAAGCTCACTTTCATTCGATGG